GAAACTCCGTCTCAAAAAAAAAAAAAAATAGTGATAAGATATGCTATTGTGAAAAGACACGTTTTAAAATCTATTTGATTTAAATATCTGGCATAATCTATGGTAGTTTTTAGTAAATGAAAATAACGTGAGCTTGGGAAACAGATGAACCCAGGACCAAAGTTTTGTTCTGTCCTGTTTGGGTGACATTTGGGTAACTTAGCTATTGATTTCATCTATAGAATTCCTAACCTGAAAAATGGAGATAAAAACACCATTTTTTAAAAACTGAGTTGTTTGCAAATATTAAGATAATCATGTGGCTGGGCGTGGTGGCTCACGCCTGTAATCCCAGCACTTTGGGAGGCCGAGGCAGGTGGATCACAAGGTCAAAAATATGGATCATCCTGGCCAACATGGTAAAACCTTATCTCTACTAAAAATACAAAGATTATTTCACTACGGTGGTGCATGTCTGTAGTCCCAGCTACTCTGGAGGCTGAACAGGAGAATTGCTTGAACCTGGGAGGCGGGGGTTTCAGTGAGCCGAGATTGTGCCACTGTACTCCTGCCTGGGTGAAAGAGTGAGACTCCATCTCAAAAATAATAATAATAATAATAATAATAATTGAAGAGCAGTCGCTTATTTGGCACTTTCTGTTGTAGAAATGAGCTACTCCAAAATAAGATAGGGTTCTGTATCAGTAATTAAAGAGAGAACACTAACCTTCTCAACAAAATCATTAATGTTTTACTGGGTAAATCTTGAGATCTTTTTCAAACGTATGCTATCAGTGCCCTTGTGACCTTTTCTAACCTGTGATTATAGCCTTGCTGATCCTCCTGTCACAAGATCTCCTCTACTCTGAGTAACAACAAGCTACTCTTCTCTATACCAGCAGGTCACTCTTGCAGAGAGCCTTGAGTTATCCTCCTTCATGAAGCAAGCTAAAGAAATGATATGAGGTGGTTCCCAGCCTCTGACCAGTGAGCAAGCTCCTCCAGCCACTAACAACGTTTTGCTTTTTTTTTTTTTTTTGAGACAGAATCTCGCTCTGTCGCCCAGGCTGGAGGGCAGTGGTGCAATGTCAGCTCACTCCAATTTCTGCTTCCCGGGTTTAAGCAATTCTCATGCCTCAGCCTCCTGAGTAGCTGGGATTACCGGCATATACACTGCGCCTGGCTAATCTTTTGTATTTTCAGTAGAGACGGGTTTCACCATGTTGGCCAGGCTGGTCTCGAACTCCTGACCTCAGGTGATCCACCCTCCTCGGCCTCCCAAAGTGCTGGGATTACAGGCATGAGCCACCATGCCCGGCCAATAACATTTTGCTTTTAAAATTCTGAGTGTATCCTAAGCACTTTGCTGTATCCATTAACAAATTTAATCATATGAAGCAGATAGCTTTTTCTTAATTAACTGATTTATTACATATATATACATATATATGTATTTTTAAGAGATAGGGTCTGCCTCTGTCATCCAGATTGTAGTACAGTGGCATGATAGATCATAGCTCACTGAAGCCTTGAACCCCTGGGTTGAACTGATCCTCCTGCCTCAGCTTCCTCAGTAGCTGGGATTACAGGTGTGTGCCACTGCATGCAGCTGACAGATATTTTTGTTTATTTATTTAGAGACGGAGTTTTGCTCTTGTTGCCCAGGCTGGAGTGCAATGGTGTGATCTTGGCTCACTGCAACCTCTGCCTCCTGTATTCAAGAGATTCTCCTGCCTCAGCCTCCAGAGTAGCAGGTATTACAGGTGCCCACCACTACGCCTGGCTAATTTTGTATTTTTAGTAGAGACAGGGTTTCTCCATGTTGGTCAAGCTGGTCTCGAACTTCTGACTGTAGGTGATCCACCCACCTCAGCCTCCCAAAGTGTTAGGATTGCAGGCGTGACCCACTGCACCTGGCCACATGCTATTATTATACACACTTAACAGAAGAAAACTGAGAAAGAAGTTTGAGCCTATGTTATCCAATGTTGTCTCCACTAGCTCATGTAGCAATTGCACTCTTGAAATGCAGCTTGTCTGAGTTGGGCATGGTGGCTCACGCCTGTAATCCCAGAACTTTGGGAGGCTGAGGCCGGTGGATCACTTGAGGTCAGGAGTTCAAGACCAGCCTGGCCAACATGGTGAAACCCCATCTCTACTAAAAGCACAAAACTAGCCGGGTGTGGTGGCGGGCGCCTTTAATATCAGCGACTCAGGAGGCTGAGGCAGGAGAGTCAATTGAACTCAAGAGGCAGAGGTTGCAGTGAGCCAAGATCACACCACTGAGATCATACCACTGCACTCCAGCCTGGGCGATGGAGTAAGACTCTGTCTCAAAAAAATAAAATTTAATTTTAAAATGTGGCTTGTCTGAATTGTGATCTAAGTGTAAAGCACATACTAGATTTCAAAGACTTTATATAATTAGCATTGGTTTACATTAATTATATATTAAAATATTTTGA